TTTGTCACTCCTTCAAGCAACTGGTTTTTAGCTGGGGAAACAAAGTCAGCTTGAGTAACTCTGTATAGCACAAGTAGGAAGTAGGGAGGCCTGAATGCAAACCCAGCAGTGTCTGATTCCAAAAGCGATGCTCTCAGCCACATTGGTATACTGCTGTAACTTAACTCTAAGCACTCTTCTGCCTTTGGAGACCCCCTTGAAATTCATGACTGTTTGTAGTCCTGGATTTCCACACTAAATGCAGTACTCTCTACTAAACACTTTAAAGCTATATGGTAAAATTTTAAGTAGACATTTTATATACATTACTTTCTTTGATATAGTCTAAAATTAAGATTTTTTATTTTTCTGGGAAAGGGAGAAAGAATGCTGGTCATCTAGGAAAGTAACTTCACGGTAAAGCTGGTCAAATCATGTAAAGTCATTAATATGTATTTGTGAGTTCTAGCATTCCTGTAAGGAGTTTAAATGTGTCTGAAATAAAACTTCCCTTTTTCAGAATTTTTTCCACTGTAGGCGTCTCTAATATTCAGGACTAGGAGCTCCCATCGCTTTTCCTTTTTGTGGCTGTGCTCACTATCTGAGACCTTTTTGTGGCCAATCACTTAATTTGATCTTTGTACAAAAGTCTCATTTCTTTACTGAGATTTCTTATATTTTGAAAACCCAATTTAAGGTGTGAGATGGTAGAAATATGGTAGTTGAGTGAGGAGGAATAAAAGCAGAAACAAAGGAACTAGGAAAAAAGTACAATCCCCATGGTGTGGCCCATGACCAAAAGCAATGAAATAGACTAGTTGTGATCCAAATCGGGATTATATGTAGAGTGAGAAGATAAGGACTAGAAATCAAATTGTACGCTTGAGAAGAGAAGGATTTAAAAGAAAGATGATAGAACTCTAAATTAAATAAAACCACTTACAAAAAAATTTTCCTGAAGTAGAATTAGATTCAAGGCTCTAGTAGTGTAGTGGTTACGAGTCAGTCTGCTAACCTTAAGGTCAGCAGTTCGAAACTACCAGCCATTCTATGGGATAAAGATGAGGCTTTCTGCTTCTAAAGATTTACAGCCTCGGAAACCCAATGCAGGGTCGCTGTGAGTCAGACCTAACTCCACGGCACACCACCACCAGGTTTGTCTAAGTGAAGTCCTAGGGTAGTGCTATAGGATAAGTACTGGTCTGCTAACTGCAAATGATGATGGGTCAAACCCCACCACCAACTTAACAACACAACAGCAAGCTTCGTTAAAATGTTACAAGAACTTTGCATTTGAGAACAGTTTGAAAGTGAGAATGTGAATTTTTTTCCCTTGTGAATTGAGTGAAGGCTTACAGTAAAGATCAACAACTTTATATTTAACAAATTATTCACTTTGTTGGATCTCAATGATTACAAGCGCTTCTCTGCAACATTTATCTTACATCCTCCCTGTGGCTCCCCATTTACCTCTTATATTTCACAAGTGAACAAAGCCAAAAATATTTGATGTACGCTTACAAAACAAATATACATACATACATATATATATATATATATATATATATATGCTTACAAAACAAATTATATATATATATATTCATTTGACTGTCCAAAGGACACACTCTGCAAGCCAGCCTCTGCCCACAAGCACACAGCCGTACTTCGTCTTTGTGCCTACAGCCCACAGCTGCTGTCTCTCCAGGCCATTGCTCTGCCACTGTCTGTACTGTCACTGCCTTTCTAGGTAGGGATCTCACACTCCGTTCACACTTTTACTTCTTGATGAACTTGGGAATGTCTGTCCTGGAATGAAAGATGAACTATTCCCCTCTTTTAGTTGTGCATCTTTCTACAATTGCAATTGTGACAGTCACAATCCTGCAAACAAAAATTGAACAACCTTCAAGGCTATTTCTAGTCTTGCCAGTTAAGTTAGCTGTCTCTACATAGGAACAATTCCCAGAAGGATATGGATTTCAATTTAATTTTGACTTAGAATTAAAGAAGATGTTTAGAATGGGAAAGGACTGTTAGGGTAGTCAGATAGTGCCTTCATCTGTTGTTTTTGTTAGGTGCCATCAAGTTGGTACCAACTCATAGCGACCTTAGGTACAACAGACAGAAATGCTGCCTGGTCCTTCACCAACCTCTTAATAGTTACTATGCTTGAGCCCATTGCTGCTGCCACGGTGTCAATTCATCTCCTTGGGGGTCTTCCTCTTCTTCACCAACCCTCCACTTTACCAAGCATGATGTCCTAATCCAGGGACTGGCCCCTGCTACTAATAACTCCAAAGTATGAGAGACTTAAGTCTTCCTGGCTTCTAAGGAGCATTCTTATTGTACTTCTTCCAACACTGATTTGTTTGTTCTTTTGGTAGTCCATGGTACTTGCACTATTTTTCTCTAGCACCATAACTCAAATGCATCAATCTTTAATTCACTGTTACGGTGTGGCACTGTAAGATAAAGCATTGGACCTCACAGTCGACTTCAACCACAAGTTTGGCAGTTCAAACCTACCAGCTACTCCTCTGAGATCCTATGTAACATTTGAGTTAGAACCGACTTGATGGCACTACAACAGTAACAACAGCATTCATTGTCCAACTTTTACGTGCATATGAGGCTACTGAAAATGTGGTGACTTGGGTCAGATGCACTTTAGTTGTCAAATGCATATGAAGATATCTTGAATACTTTAAAGAGGTCTTGTGCAGCAGATTTACCTAATACTTTAAGACTGCTCATATTTGCTAATAAGTCAATTGAGTTTTTCTCCCAGTCTCTATCTCCTCCCCCCGCTCCCTTTTTTTTTAAATTGTGAACTGAGTAATAGTTTACATGGGAGAACATTGGCTTTACACCATCGTTTCATTCAACAGTATTTGCTTCAGTTCCTTCTGTTTTTCTTGAGGGGTGGTGGGGAGATGTACACAAAAACACTCAGGGATATATAATCATTTAAACAACCAAAGGGCACATTCTGCAAGCTTGCCTCCTGGCAGTCAGCACTCAGTCCCTCTCTTTCCATGAGTGTAGAGTCCTCAGCTGCTCCCTCTCCCCATGTCCTCATCTCTGCCTCCATCTCTGGTGTTGCTGCTTCTCTGGATAGGGTCCCATATTCCGCTTGTGCTCTTCTCCCTTGATGGTCCTAGGGTCTTCTTGTTTCAGGAATGTAAGATTTTTGTTTCAAAACTTCTACCTTTACAGTTGTGACAGTTGCAGTTAGTCATGATAACAATTACTCACTGTTGAATCATAAGAATCTTATCCCCATGTCTTTTCACCATATCCATCTAGACAAGATGAAGCCTATTCAGTGGGGACTCTACCTTTCCCCTCACTCTCTTAAACTAAACTCCCTCTTGAAAACTTGTAAGCCAGTAACTTCATGCCTTTATCGCCCCCTCATTTTAGGTAGTCACTGTCTAAATTGTCCATCCCTATCAACCCTGTATACAGAGGGGATAGCACTGATATTTGATATGAAGACTCCTCTCTCTGTTGGTATTTTGAGCTACTACATCAATGAGTATAGGTTAGATTCATCAAAGTATAGTAATTTCCCTCTTTTCCTTTATCAAAAATTGTTTCCTTTTTATCTTCCTCTAGTCGAGTTCTGATTATCAAGCCATCAAGGCTAGGTCAGATGGGTTGTTGTTGTTGTTAAGTACCGTTCAGATGGTTCTGACCCATAGCAACCCTGTATAGGGTTTCTGAGGTGCAGCTGTTGACCTTGAACCACTGACTTTGTAGTTCAAATGGCTTTGCAGTCTGGCGCATTAATCCACAGCACCACACCAGGACTCCAGTGGGTACTATCTGTAAATGTGGGTGCTCTTGTGCATCTCACCTCACTTCATATCTGCTGCACTCTATATTTTTTAACTTGATTTGGTCATTGTGTTATTTCCTCGTAGTTCAACTTTCTAAAATTGACCAAGCAGTCCTCTAAAGTTAAGTCAAAGAACTCTTGTGGCACAATAGTTAAGCACTTGGCTGGTGACCAAAAGTTTGAGCCAACCAGCTGCTCCATGGAAGAAAAGACCTGATGATCTGCTCCCATGAAGATTACAGCCTTAGAAAACCTATGAGGTGTTTATAGTCTGTCATATAGGTTGCTGTGAATCAGAGTCAACTCGATGGCACACAACAAAGTTAGACCATGTTGTCACTGTCTAGCTGCTTACGAGTGGATGTGTACATGGGATTTCTAGTACAGTTCATCTAGAAATTTCTTATCAGCTTGGTAGTATTTTTGTTTACTTTGAGAATGTTTTAAAATTTAATTATTAATTTTATACATCAGAATGAAATATTAGATTGGGAAACCAGTTTTTTAAAGACAGTGTCTATATTGTGATGAATGCTTTTAGCTAAAATGTATTTAAGTTCTGGGAGATTTTAGAGCTTAAACACATTTTAAAATATTGGAAACTGCAGCTGTAAATTATTTTGGTATTATTTAAAAGCATATAATGAGCAGATTTATAAGATAATTGTTTTAACTGGATTGGTTTTATAGATTGAATTGTATCTCCCCCAAAATATGTGTTGTAAATCCTAAACTTCGATACCTGTGCTAATAATCCCATTTAGAAATGGACTTTGTTATGTCAGTGAGACATTATTAGCATAGAGTATATTTTGGATCAGTTTCTTTTGAGGTATAAAAGAGATTTAGTTTACACAGGTGAGTAAACAGAGATGAGAGAAGCGAGATGCAAAACCACATGAAGATCACCCAGGAGCAGAAACTCAGAGAGAGAGAAAGATGTTCCTCCTTATATGGCAGGAAGAGGTAGCCTTCCCATAGAACTCTAAATGATGAGAAAGTAAATTTCTGTTTATTAAAGCCATTCATTATGGCATTTCTCTTTTAGCAACACTAGGTAACTATGAGACAGAAATATGCAATAAGATTTCAACTGTCTAATTCTTTTAAATTCTAAAACAATGGCTTAAATCTTCTATTATAGTTGATTACATTCTAATTCTGTGTTTTCTCATTTCAGGCTGAAATAGAACTCTTTGTGAACAGGCTTGACTCAGTAGAATCTGTTCTTCCTTATGAATATACAGTGTAAGTTTCTCAGTTGTTTTTTATGTAAAATTTATGTTGACTTATCAGAGTTATATATGCATTTTAGTATTTCTTTTCTGTACATTTGTAAATAAATGTGTATGCATTTGAACCTGTAGATTTTAAACACAATTTAAAAAAGGGACTCTTTTACTTCCAACCAGGAAAATATTTAGCTGCCATCAAGTTAATTTCTTTACTTTCAAAGTAGGGTTAAACTGAGATCTTCATTTTTATGTTGTTTCGACTCTACAGAAGTATCACTAAAACAGTGGATTTACTTTTTATCTGATCATATTTATATAATAGCCATTTTATTTTCATTTAACAGTTTATTTTTTTTTAAGTCTATACAACTTTAAACAAAATTATTATGTCGCATATAATTAATTCCAAGAAATAACTATTTTGATCTTTATTCTTCTATATATCTTTTTTAATAGCCTAATATGTATATTGTTGGATGCTCTTGAATTACTTCCTACTCATAGCCTGTGTGTAACAGAATTAAACACTGCCCATTCTCCACCCTTCTCACAATTGTTGTGAGGTTTGAGCCCATTGCTGCTGTCATTGTGTCAGTGCATCTCGCCAAAAGTTTTCCTTTTTGTCACTGTCCCTTCATTTTACCCAGCATGATGTTCTTCTCCAGGAACTGGTCCTTCCAAATAATATGTCCAAAGTACAAGAGACAACTTGCCAACCTTGCTTCCAAGGAGCGTTCTGGCTGTACTTCTTCCAGCAAAGATTGGTTTGTTCTTCTGGCAGTCCATGGTGCTGTCAGTATTCTTCTCAAGTATCATAATCCAAATGCATCAATTCTTATATGGTCTTCCTTGTTGATTGTCTAAGCTTTTCACATGCATATGAGTCGATTGAAAATACACCATGATTTGGGTCCTTAACTGTCCTTAAACTGACGTGTTTAGTCTTTAACACTTTGAAGAGGTCTTTTGAAGCTTATTTGCCCGATACAATACATTGTTTGATATCTGACTGCTGCTTCGATGAGTGTTGATTATGGATCTATACAAAATACAGTTTTTGACAACTTCAACCTCTTCTCCATTTATTGATCCAGTTGAGAGGCTCTTTTTTTTTTTTTCTTCACATTGAGGTGCAGTCTGTACTGAAGGCTGTAGTCTTCGATCTTCATCAGTAGGTGTTTTAAGTCCTCTTAGTTTCCAGCTAGCAAGATTGTATCATCTGCATATCTGATTGTTTATGAGTCTTCCTCCAACCTTGATACCGTATTCTTCTTCATATAATTCAACTTCTCAGATGATTTGTTCATCATACAGACTGAATAACAATAGTGAAGGAATACATCCGTAGTATACGTCTTTCCTAATTTTAAACTATTCAGTATCACCTTGTTGTGTTCTAACAATTGCCTCTGAGTTCCTCATGAGCACTGTGTTTTGGAATACCCATTCTTTGCATTGTTATCCATAGTTTGTCATAGTCTGCATAGTCGAAAGCCTTTGCATAGTCAATAAAGCATAACTAAACATCTGTCTCATATTCTCTGCTCTCAGCCAAAATTCGTCTGACGTCAGCAGTCATAGCCCTAGTACCTTATCTTCTTATGAATCCAGATTGAATTTCTGGGAGTTCCCTGACAGTGAACTGTTGCAACTGTTTTTAATTATCTTTAGCAAAATTTTACTTTCATGTTACATTAATGACATTGTTTGATGATTTCTGCGTTACATTGTGTCACCTCTCTTTGGAATGTTCACAAATATGATCTCTTCCAATTAGTTGGCCAGGTAGCTGTCTTCCATATTTCTTGGCACAGATGAGTGAGCACTTCCAGTGATGTATTAGTTTCTTGAATGATTTCAATTTGTGTTCTGTCAATTCCTGGAATATTGCTTTGCCAATGCCTTCAGTACACCTTGGACTTTTTCCTTCAATATCTTGATCTTATACTATCTCTTCAAATGGTTAAACATCAACCATTTCTTTTTGGTACATTGACTTTGTATAGTCCTTCCATTTTCTTTTTATGCTTTCTGTATCATTTAATATTTTGCCCATAAAACCCTTCAATATTGCAACCCAAGGTTTACAGTTTATTTTCAGTTATTTCCACTTAAGAAATGCTGAGCGTGTTCTTCCTTTTGGTTTTCTAGCTCCAATCTTGGCACATTTCATAGTAATACTTGACTTTGTCTTCTCGAGTTTCCATTTGAAATTTTCTGTTCAGCTCTTTTACTTCCTCATTTCTTCCATTTACTTTTGCTTCTCTACACTCAAGGGTCAATTTCAGAGTCTCTTCTGACATCCATTTTGGTCTTTTCTTTCTTTACTGAACTTGCATATAGCAATTGATGGCCTGCCCTGGCCTTGTTTTGACTGTTTATATTGAGTTTTTCCACTTCTCTTCCCACAGAATTTTTTTCCTGTGTATTCCATCTGGTAAGGTCCAGGTATATAGTTGTCTTTTATTTTGTTTTAAAAAAGCTATTTTTAATGAATAATGTTGGTCTTACAAAATTTTGTCATGCAATCTCCAGCAGTATTTCTATCACCAATGCCGTATTTTCCAACTATTTATCCTTTTTCTTTGTTTTCTACCTTTACATTCCAATCACTAGTAATGATCAGTGCATCTTGAATGCATATTTGATCAATTTCAGACTGAAGTAGTTGGTAGAATTCTTCAATTTCATCATCACTGGCTTTAGTGAATGCTGTGTAAATTTGAATAATAGTGGTATTAACTGATCTTCCTTATAGGTGTGTAAATGTTATCCTCTCACAAGACAGCATTGTACTTCAAGATAGATTTTGAAATGTTCTTTTTGAAGAAGAATGCAACATCATTCTTCTTGAATTTGTTGTTCCCATCATAGTAAACCTGATGATTGATTCAAAATGGATTCAAACCAGTACATTTCTGCTCACTAATGCCTAGGATGTTTACTGTTGTGCTTAGGGTCTCTATGAGCCAGAAGCAATTTGATGGCACCTAACAACAATAACAGTGCCTAGAATATTTTATCTTTGACAGCTTCCAGTTTTCCTAAATTCATGCTTGGTACATTCCATGTTCTGATTATTGATGGATGCTTGCAGTTGGAGTTGTGCCCCATCAGAAAATCAAGGTCCTGAAAGCTTTAGTCTGTTCATATCATTTTTGTCAGCTCTGCTTTGGGAAGACAGCTCTTCCTTAGTCATTTTTGGAGTGCCTTTCAACCTTAGGGTCTCATCTTTTGGCAATATCCTGCTGCTATTTGTAATCTTTCATTTCCCAGTGTTACATCTGACAGTGGTACGTTGTTGTTTATGAGATTTTTAGGGCTAATCATTCAGAAGTAGTCTGTCTCTCTTTATTCCTAGTCTGTCTTAGTCTGAAAGCTTCACTGAAACTTGTTCACCATGGGTGATCCTGCTGGTGTTTAAAATATTGGTGTCATAGCTTCCCACATCATTGCAACTCGCAAGCCACCAAAGTATGATAAAGTGACAGATACATTTTTGTTTAAAGAATCCAAAAAAACCCACTGAATCTTGTCCATTCAGACTTATAAAGACCCTATAGACAGAGTAAAAATAAAATTAGACTTAGGGTTTCCAAGCTAATATATTTTTATGAGAGCAGAATGCCTTTCTTTTTCCCACAGGGGGTTGGTGGGTTTGAACCAACAACCTTGTGGTTAACAGCCTATCACTTAATCCGCTGTGCTATCTAGGGTCCTTACTTTTAAAGTAGGCACATACTGTTGTATTTGACTTACACTTTGTTTTTTCACAGAATCTATTGTAGACATCTTTCTATCTCAGTGTCTATGTAACCCCCTCAGTCTTTTAGTAGCTGTGTGTTGTTACATTGCAGAGTTATAGATTCTATGTATGAATTTTTTCCCTTATTCCCTATTTATGAACACTTGATTCTTTCCAGTTTTTTATTATCAAAAGTGTTACATGAACATCTTTGTACATTAATTACAGGTTACTTTGTGTTTCTTTGACTGTTATACATCATATTAGGTATAAAATATAGTTTCTGAACTTTCCTTGGCTTCCAGATTTCTCTGGTGTCTAAAAGTTTTAAAAGAAAATATATATTTTTTACTGCAGAGAAAAGCATATAAAAAAGAATATCTTATAAAAATTCATATGTCTACATTATATAAGAAGATAATACAAAACTCATGTGTGGATTGACTATAATTTATTTAACTCTTGAAAATTTAAATGTTTTTGTTAGTTCTGCTAAATAAACAAACATCTTCTTTAATTCCTTGAGCATCGCACTAATTTGCTGCCATCATTGTACTGGCCTCAGATCCTCCACATATCATTCCAGGGTGAACACAGAACTGCCATTGAATCTTCTATAGCAAAGCTGCAGTTATGCTGTAACATTTAGATAAAACTATTGAAATCTGGTTAATAATAAATATCAGGAGGCAACTGGATGGCACAAATAATTAAGCACTCTACTACAATCCAAAAGGTTGGTGGTTCAAACCCACCCAGAGGTACCTAGGAATACAGGTGTGACAGTCTGCTTCCAAAAGGTCACAGCCTTGAAAATACTATGGAGCTGTTTTACTCTGCATATGTAGAGTCAAAATAAATGTGTTCTCAGATAGCAACAGTAAAGAGTACAAGAGAATTAAAACATAGGAAGAAAGTCACAGCTGACTGAATATGGTTCTTCACAGCCCCCTGCTCTCACAGGGTCTGTCTAGCTGTGCTTCTCATATTGCGGATATGTTGTTGTTAAGTGCTGTCGAGTCGCTTCTGGCCCATGGCAGCCCTGTATAGGGTTTCCGAGGAGCAGCCGGTGAGCTTGAACCGCCAACCTCGCCGTTCAAACCAACTTTACAGTCCAGTGCATTAACACACAGCGCCACACCAGGACTCCCTATATTGGGATATATTGGTTAGCATATCACAATTATGCAGAACCCCAGGTGGTAAACTTGGTACATCTTCCTGAAATGTCATTTTTAAGTATAGATTTGGATTTGAAAGTTTTGATTAAAGATTTACAAAATTTGCTTCATAAATGTTGTTGTTAAATGCTGTCGAATCAATTCCAGCTCAGAGCGACCCAGTATAGGGTTTCCAGGGACACCTGGTGGGTTTGAACTGCCAACCTTGTGGTTCGCAGTCTAGTGCTGATCCACTGCATCACAACCAGAATAACGATGCGTTATTTTATATTAGAATGAACAAAAATCAATTATAATGGACTAATATTTTAAGGAGCCTTGTGGGTCAGTGGCTAAGCACTCATCTGCTAACCTAAAGATTGGTGTATCAAACCCGTTAGCTGTTCCATGGGAGAAAGCTGTGGGTTCCTGTAAAGATTTATAGCCTTACAAACCCAATGAGGCACTTTATTGCTATGAGTCAAAATCAACTTGACAGCAGTGCATTTTGCTTTTTTAAGAGTATAATTTAGATATCAAAGGATTCTAAGGCCTAATTCTCAGGGGTTTTGTTTTGGTTTGGTTAGATGTGATATACAGAAGTTAGAGTGAGACTATATTTTATATTTATTTCCTAGAGCTGCTGAACTGATCAGTACAGCATGTGATCTGCCTCCAAGATGGACTAGGTATTTGATATCTCATTGCTTCCTTTTGTATTTAAGAATTTTAATGTTCTTTGCCCCCAGATTTGATTTTTGCCAAGCATCAGAAGGAAAACGCCCATCTGAAAACCTTGGTCAGGTATTATTTGGGGAAAGAATTGAACCTTCACCATACAAGGTTTGTATTTAATATTATAATATAAAATTATTTAATTAAAAAATTTTCTTTAAGTGAGTAGCTGAAGGAAGGCACAGGCAGTCGTGTGGTACCATTGTGCTTTATGGGCATGTGCTGCTATGTATGCCTGAAATATTTGAAATGCAAGTTTGGAGAGACTGACCATCTAAATGTTTGGCTGGATTAAGCACCTAGTTAGAATGGTGTTTCAACAAGTTGGAGTAAGCATGCAATCAATACTTTGGTCTGGAAAGCCATATGGTTCATCGTGAAGTATTGTAAGGAAAATTGATACCAATTTATCTCTGATTCAGTGTCTAAGAGTTCAGTTTCAGCTTACCAACCATGATACAGACTGGAGTCCCAACCACCCAGGAGAGGATGCAGTGACATCTTTTGCTGATATGGGATGGGTATCAGAGAAAATGGAGATTGTTCAACAAGGCTAAGGACAGAGGTCAGGCAGCCTCTTCAGGATGACCTTCCTGTTCTGGAGAAAACCCCAAGCAAGCAGGGCTCTTTCCCACACCTGTGTCAAGAAGCGCCTCCACCAAGGACTGTGGTGCTGGCGAATGAGGAAGCCTTGCAGAAGATCAATGCTGTTGCAAATGAGCTTGCTGCACTCCGGGCCCAGATTGCCAAAATCGTCACCCTGCAGGAGCAGCAGAGTCTCACTGCAGGTGACTTAGATTCTACCTCTTCTGTTACTACACCTCCACCACCACCTCCCCTTCTCTCTTCAGCAGAGCTTCACCAAAGTAGATGTGCCATTGATCTGATTAAAGAACGAAGAGGGAAGAAGGCCAGTGCTGGAACAACTTTGGTTAAAAACAAACCAAAGAAACCTGACATGCCAAATATGCTAGAAATCCTTAAAGATATGAATAGTGTAAAACTTCATTCAGTGAAAAGTTCTGAACAAGATGTCAAGCCCAAACCAGTGGACACTACTGATCCTGCTGCCCTCATTACAGAGGCTCTGAAAAAGAAATTTGCATTTTAGTACCAAAGCGAAGTTGAAAAAGTAATTACAAAACTGAATCAGAAACCAGCTCAGAAACAGTGTTGTTTGGGCCACACATGTAGAAGTCTACAGGAAAAATGAAGGCTTTAATTAAAAATGTTTCCAGTTCCTAAATAGACAATGAGCTGAAAAAGACTATCCTGGTTCAGCTGTTGATTTATTAAGACTAAATTGGTGGTAGAAATCAACACTGTTTAGTAAATACCTGACCTGAGCATTCAGTGCCCTCCTTTTAAATCTTAAATACAGGGTTAGACAATAACAAAAGCCTTGAGTTTCTGGGTTTGCTTTTTACAAGGTGGTCAGTTCTAAAACTATCTTTGTAGATTCTGACATGTTTATTCTGATGTGTAGATTCTGACATGTTTTAATGTATAACCAGCATGTCTGTGTTACTAGTCTTGAAAACAAGTGTATAGATTTCAGAACATAGGAAGGACATGTGGGGGTGTTAACTATGAGGATTTTAATTTGCAAACACTAATTTATCTGTACAAATGTTTTATATGCATGTATTTGGATATAAAACAGTTTTATGTTAAAATTAGTCGTAATGGCAGAGAGGATACTGCTGTCATTTGTTTCCAGTGATAATTTGTAATACAATAATGGAACAGCTGGTGTAACGTAAGTTGTTGCCATGAAATATTTAATTTGAGGTTTGAATCTTCTTGTCTTGAGCAGAGCTTATATCTTAAATTCTCTCTCACTTTTCTTGGAGGTGCGATTTGAATAGAAGCATGATGATGTTCACTGTTGAAATTTCATACTGCCCTTTTAAAAGGGAGCTAGAGAACCATGCAAACTGCCTTCCCCTCAGTACCATTGTGCTGAGGAAGAGTAAGGTATCAAATTAGTGAATTAAATCCCTTGTAACGTAAAAACCAGAATGTATCATCTTTTCTTTTGGTTTAATAAATGACATCATAAAGGGGGAAAATTTTTTTTTTTCTATGTTGTTGTTCAAGAAAAAAGCTTTTGATAACAACTCTCATAGCTAGGTGAAATAAATTTTCTTTTGCATCTGGGATCCTTTTGTTTCTCATCCTATATCATACATAAGTCTGTCTTCTTGAGCATTCCTTCAGCCATTATTATAAGTGATAAAGCAGCGACTTACAAAAGAGTTCTCAGGTCCCCTGCTTCACCTCACAGAGATACCTTCAAGCCAACTTGAAACTAGTCATGAAAATTAGATCCAGATGCTTCTGAGTCCATTTCTACGTCTTTGCAAGCATTATCTGTAGACTTTTAATTAGCAGATAGATCATTAGTCCTTGACTCTCAAGTTTTAAGTAAAGATAACCTTTCTATTTTGACCATTTAAAGTATATTTGTAGTCTTGGAACAGCAGGGCTCTGTGATACAGGGAACGAGGCATAGTCTGAAGTGGGGAAATAATACTAAGATGCTTGACTGTCTTAGGAATATTGGTTTCCTTTGCCTACTATTGTAGAATTGACACTTGAGTGGGATAGAAAGGAATGTCAGGAAACATGATTACAGACAGCTTGTAAGCCCATCTTCAGCCTATAACTGATTGGAATACCTCAAAGGGATTCTACAACTTGCCCAGTGAAATAAGCCTCTTGAGGAAACTTTGCAGTGTATAGGACCTTAGGTGGAATCCTGAGCCCCATTCAGAACATTCTGAAGTGGGACATTCCCACCAGAAAGGACAAACAGACCAACCTGGAACAGCTAGAGCAACAGAAGATACATCTTCAAAGAAAGATCATCTGGAAAAACCTGAAACAAAAATGTCAATATGACTGACTGGCTACTACAAGAATAAGCAAGCTGTTTACCAGGAAACCATCAAGTCAGGTAATTAAGTTCCTTCAGGACAAACCCCTGTTGTAAAATAGACACATGAACACATGAATAGGAATGTAAGCTTGCTGGTGACCACAGTGGTCTACTGGTAAGTGGAAGGAGGGTGGGGGGAAGGCAGCAGTGAAGAAATGGGATAAGTTCAGCCTCATTCCATAGGCTCCCATTGACCTGGAGATGAGAGAGAAGAGGAAGGGCTGGTTAGTCCAAAATGTGGTGAGACCTGGAGACACCTGAGCCCATGGACAAGGACATAGCCACAGAGGGCTAGAGCTGAGAGTGAAGCATCTAGCTGATAAGAAGTGAGGGGAGATGCACAAGAATGCCCAAACTTGCAGACCTAGACTCAATGGCTTAATAATCAGAATTCAACTAGAGGAAGATTAAAAAAAAAAAAATGTTTTTGATAAAGGAAACCAGGGTAAATTGCTACAATTTGATGAACTTGAACTATACTCATGGAGGTAGTAGCTCTAAATACGAACAGAGAGGGAAGGAGTCTTCACATCAAGTATCAATGCTATCCCATCTGTATACAAGGTAGATAGGGACGGGCAACTTAGACATTGGCTACGTGGGACGGGCATGTGGGCTAATGCATCTGACTGCACAGTTGTCTGAACTGCAAGGTCGGTGGTTCAAGCTCACCATCTGTTCATTGGAAACCCTATACTATGTCGCTGTGGATCGGAATCGACTCGGCAACACTTAACAACAACCTAAAATGAGGGGTCAATAAAGGCTTGACGTGACTGGCTTATAAGTTTTCAAGAGAGAGTTTAGTTTAAGAGTGTGTGGGGGAAGATAGTCCCCACTGAATAGTTTTCATCCTGTCTAGATGGGTCTGGTGAAAGGAGATGGGGATACGATTCTTATGATTCAATAATGAGTAGTTGTTATCATGACTAATTGTGACTATTACAATTGTAAAGGTAGAAGTTTTGTAACAAAAATAGGGGAGTAGTTAGATAATCTTACAGTCCAGAAATAGAGGCCCATAGGACCATCAAGGGAGAAGAGCACAATCAGAATGCGGGACTTTATCTAGAGAAGCAGTGACACCAGAGATGGAAGCAGAGATGGGGACATGGAGACAGGGAGCAGCTGAGGACTCAAGATTCATGGGAATAAAGGGACTGAGAGCTGGCAGCTAGGAGGCACACTTGCAGAATGTGCCCTTTGGTGGTATAATATATATGCTTGAGTATTTAAAAGGAAAAAAAAAGAGCTACAATGAATAGAGACAAATAGTGTTAACTGATGATGGTACATGGAGAGGATTATAATCATTACAATGAAACAAGGTGTATGATTTGTTGAATGTAAAACTGATGCTCTGCCCTGTAAACTTTCACTCAATTCACAATAAAAACTTAAAAAAAAAAAAAAAGTGTATTTGTAGCATCTTTGAATGCATAGTTAGGACATCAGTTAAAGCGGACAAACTAAGCATGCCTTTATGTACACACTTCATCAGTAGATCCTAACTTCTTAATCTGTTGTCCTTTCACACTGCATGTGTTTGTACTGTACAAAGAACAGTGGTCTCTTATCTTTGAAAAATAATTAGTTCATGGTAATGACATATGGACATATTAAAAAAATAGATAATATAGAAAAATATAAAATAAAAAGTAAATCTCTCTGCCTCCTAGTTCCATTTTTATTTCGTATTAATCTTTCTTGATAATTTTTTATGCACTTAGAAACATTGTATAAATTTTGTTAAATGCTGTTAACAAAATCCTTCCATTCCAGTTGGAATTTTGAGTCACTGAATTCATAAGCAAAACTGTTTTGTCAGATTGTAGCAATTCACACTTGTTCACAGTATCAAATATCTTTTTTCTTCCCTGGGTTGAGTTCTGATTAACTGCACATCCAAGGTAAGTCAGGTGGGTACTAGCTGCAAGGAGGCACACCTCCCTACACTGCAGACCAGTTGTCCGCTTCACTCTCAACCCTAGTTCCCTGGGGCTAGGTCATTGCCCTTAGGCTCAGGAGTTCACACATCTTCAGACCAACCAAGGCTGTAAATCTTTGCAGGAGCAGAAAGCCTCATCTTTCTCCCATGGAACAGCTGGTAGACTCAGACTGCTGAGCTTGTTGTGGTTCGCAGTCCAGGACTTATCCTACCATGTTTTTGCCTGTATAGTTAGTATAGTAAATTGCAGCTTTCTGAAAACTAAGAGACATTTCTTTAAGACATTAACACCATATTACATTGTGAATATCATCATTTTCACATATTTGAAATAAGTCTTGAACTCTAAAATTGAAGGCATGTTAAATAAATCCTTACTTTTTAAACTTTATTGTTTTTTTTATTCCCAATTTTTTTGTTTTAACTGTGTTTCAACTTTACTAGTTAACTAAGATCCTAACCATTTGAAAGTCTTTCATTTGTGTATAAAAAAAAATTGTTTACCCAAATTTTTATGCATCCAAATTCAACTTTTTCTTACGTCATCCAGTCTGTCTTGTTTGTTAACTTTTGTATTTCCTATTACCTGGTACTTTGGGAGCACTGACATATTTATTGAGTGAATATAAAAATTCTGTTTATTACTCAAAAGTCAACTCTAGAATTTCTAAAATGTGATCATAGGATATTACCAAGAGTAATTAATATCCGGTTTGTTTTACATATGCTTTTTCTTTCTTTTTCCTCTTAGATTTACTTGCAATTTGAAGTGATGTATGTTGGAATTTTCAAAAAGAAAAAAAAAACTATTAATAATAAAAAGGAAAATAGATTTCAACTTTTTAGAAAAACTGATTACAAGTGAAATTTAAATCTGAACTACGAGGAATTTTTAACTGTTTATTGCCCATATGAATGTATTTAAGTCATTTAATGAAAACTGGGAATTTTATGCTAATTATGAATACTGGACTCAGAACCACAAGATTGGCAGTTCAAACCCACCAGCTGCGCCCTGGAAATCCTATACAGGGTTGCTACGAGTCGTAACTGACTAGATGGCACTTAACAACAACAACAGCATGTTGAAGTAATACATGACCTGAATGATTTGTCTTTTTTCCTAATTTACTTTTTACTTTGTTTTAATGCAGTTTACATTTAATAAGGAAGAGACCTGTAAACTTGTTTGTACAAAAACATACCATACAGAGAAAGCTGAAGATAAGCAAAAGCTAGAATTCTTGAAAAAGAGCATGTTACTGAATTATCAGCATCACTGGTAAGAAATGGAGATTTTAGATTTTTTTGGCATTTTCCTTTTTAAGATAAAACTTCTGAGTTAATTCACTAAGTGTATAGTATATAAGAAATTTACCAATTTTTGTTTTGTTTTCTGTAGTAGTAGCATGAAATAGTGAATTTGACTTGCCAGAACGTTATTATTAACATTGATAGCATGATTTAAAGGATCATCTGTAATTGTACTTATCTTACTGTAATATCTGGTCTTTCCTTTTATACATAGACATATAACAGTTTTATTCATGTATAGCTAACAGGAGTAGATTCATGCTTTGCAACTGTCTTCTTGAGAAATGTTATTTTTACTCAATAGACAGTGAATAAGGTCATAAAAATGTATTTAATTTTTGTTTGATGTTTGATAAATAGTATTTACTTCAAGTAAAACAGCTACCCATATCATTTTATAAACAGGAAGTAACATTAGCAAGGTCGTGCAAGTTTAATCAAAATCAAAGAGCACTTAAACTTTGTAAATTTGGGGAGGCAATGACTTATGAGACAGGGGATTCATCCTTAAAATTTATTGGAAACTTCAACACCCCAACAAGAAAAAGACAAATAGTCCACTTAAAAAATAGACAGAAAACGTGAACAGAAATACTTGTGATCACTAGCCATTGGAAAGATGAAAATGAAAACAGCGGTGAAATAGCATCGCACACCAGCATTAATAGCAGACCCAAAAACCAGAAGACAACACATGCTGGTATAGAGAGACTAGGACTCGTCTACACTGCTAGCAAAACTGTGAAATGGTGCAACTACTGTGGAAGGTGCTAAGATGCTTACTCAAAAAGTTGAAAATAGAAATAACCGTATGACCCAGTAATGTTTCTGTTTAGTATATCCTAAAGAAATAAGCACTATGACAGAATAAGTATATGTACACCTATGTTCGCTGCAGCTCTATTCACAATAGCAAAAAGATGTAGACAGCCTAATGGCCATTTTGGAAGAATGGATAAACAGATTTTGGTACATAAGCACAGTGGAATGCTACTTAACGTTGAAGAATACCATTGAATCTGAAAAACATCTCATAACATGGATGATGAACCTGGGAGGACATTATGCTGAGTAAATTTAGTCAATTACAAAAGGACAAGTGTAGTATCAGATATTTGTTGTAAAAAGTCAAGAAAAGGGTTTCATGCTAAAAGAAACATTCCTTGATAGTTACCAGAGGTTGGAGGGAAGAGGGAGTAATTGACTAGCTATAGAGGATAGACATGTTAATCCAAGTGACAGCATGGCTTTGCTGAAGAATGATGAAGGCCGGGTCAGACACAGGGAAGAGAGCAAGAGTTAAAGGGAACAGGGCTACATGCTGGTATATATACAATCCTGCGATAACAGTGATCTGTGGGTAGATGTGTGGATAGATACACAGACTGAATAGGTGTGGGACAGAGTGTGGGATATATCCTCAAATATATAAAGGTTTGAATAGAATATTTGTATGTGGATATTTACATATGATGTAAACATCCATGAATGTGGTGCAGCATTTGTTATTGTTAGGTGTACCAGTGAGTCTGTTCCGATCCATAACAACCCTCCTATGAACAACAGAACAAAAGATAACCCAGTCCTGTGCCATCCTCACAGATGTCATTATGTTTGAACCCATTATTGCTACCACTGTGTCACTCCATATTGTTGGGGTTGTCCTTTTCCGCTGATCCACACACTTCCAAATATGAATCTCTTCTCTAGGAAATGATCTCTCCTGACAACGTTCCAAAGTACGAGAGATGAAGTCTCGCCATGCTGACTTCCAAGGAGCATTCTGGCTGTACTTCTTCCAACACATTTATTTGTGTGTTCTTCTGGCAGTCCATGGTACTTAAAGTATTCTTCGCCAGCACTCTAATTCAAATGCATCGGGTCTTCTCTGGTCTTTCTTATTCATTGTTCAACTTTCACATACATATGAGTTGATTGAAAATATCATGGCTTGGCTCTGGTGCACCTTAGTCCTGAAACTATGATTTTTGCTTTTGGAACACTTTAAAGAGGTCTTGTGCAGCAGATTTGCATAATGTGATGTATTGTTTGATTTCTTGGCTGCTACTTCCATGAGTGTTGATTTTGCATCCAAGTAAAATGAAGTCTTTCACAACTTCAATCACTCCTCCATTAGTTGTTGTTAAATGCCATTTAATCCGTTTTAAATCATAGCGACCATGTTAGGGTTTTTGAGGAGTGGGATTGCCTCAAGTTCTCTTTGCTTTCAGTAGGCTTTCTGTCATCTGCACATCACAGGTGGTTGATGAGCCTTCCTCCAATACTGCTGCCGCATTCTTTTTCATATAATCTAGTTTCTCTGATTATTTGCTTAACATACAGAAATGAATAAGCGTGGCGAGAAGATAAACTCTGGTGTATACCTTTCTTATTTCAAACCAGGTAGTATCCCCTTGTTCTATTTGAAAGACTGCACTGCCTCTTGGTCTTTGTACAGGTTTTTCAGAAGCACAATGAAGTGTTCTAGAATTTCCATTCTTCACCATGTTATCCATAATTTTTGACCCACAGTGTCAGATGCCTTTGCATAGTCAGTAAAATCAACTAAACAACTTTCTAGTAATCTCTGTTTCCAGCCAAGATCCATCTGATGTCAGCAATTGTAGTCCTTGTTCCATGTTCTCATCTGAATCTGGCTTGAATTTCTGGCAGTTCTCTGTTGATAATGTTGCAGCCATTTTTTAATTTAGCAGAATTTTACTTGTGTGTGATAGTAATGATATTACTTGATAATTTTCATTCTGCTGGGTCACCTTTCTTTGGAACATGCACAAATATGATTCTCTTCAATTCTGTTAGCCACTTAGTTGTCTTCCAAATTTCTTGGCATAGACTAATATGTGCTTCCAGTCCTGCATCAGTTTGTAGAAACATTTCAGTCAATTCTTGGGCCCTTGTTTCTCACCAATGTCTTCGTGCAGCTTGGATTTCTTCCTTTATTTCCATGGTTTCTTGACCATACGCTACCTCCTCAAATGGTTGAATATTGACTAGTTATTTTCAGGATAGTGATTCTGTATATTCCTTCTTTCTTCTTTCTATACTTCTTGTGCTAATCAGTATTTTTCCCATAAAACCCTCTGTGTTTCAAATTGAGACTTGAATTTTTTTCCTCAGCATGAGAAATGCTGTGTTCTTCCGTTTTAGTTTTCTAACTCTAGGTCTTTGCACGTGTCATTATAATACTTAACTTTGTCTTCTTGAGTTGGCCTTTGAAATTATCTTGTACTTTTCATCATTCCTTCTATTCTCTTTAACTATCCTTACACTCAGAACAAGTTTGACAGTCTCTTCTGACATCAACTCTTTTCTATGGCTTGTCATTTACCAATCTTTTGCTTTATTCATGTATGGTATTTTTTATGTCATCCCTGAACTCCTCTGGTCATTAATGTTCAATACATCACATCTGTTATTGACAGGATCTCTGAATTTTGATTTCCCATTAATTGGTTTTTAATTTTCTACAGCTTCATCTTGAACTTGCATATGATATGATATGATATGATATATGATATGATATGATATGATATGATATGATATGATATGATATGATAGTCTGTTCCACATTTGGCCCCTGACCTTGTTTGAGCCGATGATAATGAGCTTCTCCATCATCTCTTCCCATGCTGTCTTCAGTTTGATTTCTGTGTATTTCATCTGGCAAGGTCCACGTGTATAGTTGTTCTTATGTTGTTGAAAATAAAGTTATTTGCAATAAAAAAAAAAAAAGTCATTGAGCTTGCAAAATTCCACCACCAATGCCGTATTTTCCAGCTACAGATCCTTTCTTTTGGTTTCTAATTTCCCTGTTCCAATCACCGGTAATTATCAATGCACCTGACTGCATGCTTGATCGAGCTGCTTTCAGGATTCTTTTCTTGTCTTTGAGTTTGGAGAGTTTGATTGTGATATGTCTTGGTGATTTTCTTTTGGGGTGTATCCTGCCTGGGATTCTTAAATATTTTTCATCTTTCATGATGTTAGGGAAATTTTCTTCCAGTAGCTCTTCTACTATCTTTTCTCTAGTTTCCTTTGTGTCTTGCTGTTCTGGAATTCCAGACACCCACAGGTTATTCCTCTATATGTTGTCCCTCATGAATCTTAGGCTTTCTTCACATTTTTTTCATTCCCTTTTCTCATTGTTCTTCTATCTTACTAGTATTAAGAGATTTATCTTTACACTCACTAGTTCTGACTTCCATTGATTCACTTCTGCTCCTTTTCCCTTTCATTGCTTTATCCATTTCTGATCTTAGTATTGGTCATCTGTTTTCAGGTTTGTATTGTCTCCAGTGTTGTATCTGTTTTGTTTGATTGCTTGATTGTACTGCTTTTCTAAATTCTTTCTTGTTTTCCACGACCTTTCTGTGAAACATTTGGACGTACCTCGATATCATTTTCCTAAACTCTTTTTTATCAGGTAGTTCCAATGCTTCTTCTTCCTAAAACGCAGTTTCCAACTCTTACTGTTGGTCATTTGTTTGAGCTCTTCTGTCTCGTTTCTTCATATGGACAGAAATTTTCTACGCTTTCTAGGCACTGTGGTGGTGTTGTATTTGTATTTAAGTTGTTTAATGTATGTTGGTGTATTCATAAGCACTCACCAATTGCGTCCTAGTGGGTATAATAAGGAGATGAGCTCTGTTCACTGTACAATTCAGTTCAGAATGGATTTAGCAGATACTGGTTGTAGTTACTGCTCTGGTGTATAGCAGCTGATGTTGGTTCTTGCCCAATTGTTTGGGTTGTAGCAAGTACAACTGTGGCTTGGTTTTATGACCATAGTTGCTGTCTCTTGTCAGGCGAGGCAAGAAGAGAAAACATTCCCACAAGAGGAAAAGGTCAAAGAAACAAAACTAAAAACAAAACACAGGCAAACCCAGAAAAGAATATAAAGACAATAAAACTGGGAAAAGAAAAAGAAACAAACAAACATAAAAATAA